TGAGACCAGCATTATCCTGATATCAAAATCTGGCAGAGACACAACAAAAAAGAAAATTTCAGGCCAATATCTCTGATGAACATTGATGTGAAAATCCTCAATAAAATACTGACAAACTGAATCCATCAGCACATCAAAAAGCTTATCCACCACGATCAAGTTGGCTTCATACCTGGGATGCAAGGCTGGTTCAATATACGGAAATCAGTAAACATAATTCATCATAAAAACAAAATCAAAGAGAAAAACCACATGTATATCTCAATAGATGCAGAAAAGGCCTTTGACAAAATTCAACACCCCTTCACGCTAAAAACTCTCAATAGACTAGGTATTGATGGAATGTATCTCAAAATAATAAGAGCTATTTATGACAAACCCACAGTCAATATCATACTGAATGGGCAAAAGCTGGAAGCATTATCTTTGAAAACCGGCACAAGACAAGGATGACCTCTCTCACCACTCCTGTTCAATATAGTATTGGAAGTTCTGGCGAAGGCAATCAGGCAAGAGAAAGAAATAAAGAGTTTTCAATTAGGAAAAGAGGAATTCAAGTTGTCTCTGTTTGCAGATGACATGACTGTATATTTAGAAAACCCCACTGTCTCAGCCCCAAATCTCTTTAAGATGATGAGGAACTTCAGCAAAGTCTCAGGATACAAAATCAATGTGCAAAAAGCACGAACATTCCTATACACCAATAACAGACAAACAGAGAGTCAAATCATGAGTGAACTCCCATTCACAATTGCTACAAAGACAATAAAATACCTAGAAATACAGCTTACAAGGGACATGAAAGACCTCTTCAAGAGAACTACAAACCTTTGCCCACTTTTTAATGGGGTCTTTTTTTCTTGTAAATATGTTTAAGTCCCCTGTAAATTCTGGTTATTAGACCTTTGTCACATGGGTAGATTGAAAATATTTTCTCCCATTCTTTAGGTTTCCTGTTCACTCTGATGGTAGTTTCTTTTGCTGTGCAACAGCTCTTTAGTTTAATTAGATCCTAATTGTCAATTTTGGCTTTTGTTGGAATTGCTTCTGAAGTTTTTGTCATGAAGTCTTTGCCCATGCCTATGTCCTGAATGGTATTGCCTAGGTTTTTTTCTAGGGTTTTTATGGTTTTAGGATTTACATTTAAGTCTTTAGTTCATCTTGAGTTAGTTTTTCCATAATATGTGTAAGGAAAGAGTCCAGTTTCAATTTTCTGCATATGGCTAGCCAGTTTCCCCAGAACCATTTACTGAATAAGAGATCATTTACCCACTGCTTGTTTTTGAACAGTTTGTCAAAGATCAGATAGTTGTAGATGTGAGGTATTATTTCTGAGATCGCTGTTCTTCTCCACTGGTCTATATGTCTGTTTTGGTACCAGTGCCATGCTGTTTGGGTTACTGTAGCCTTGTAGTATAGTTTGAAGTCAGGTAGCGTGATGCCTCCAGCTTTGTTCTTTTTGCTTAGGATTGTCTTGGCTATGCAGGGTCTTCTTTGATTCCATATGAAATTTAAAACAGTTTTTTTTCTAATTCTGTGAAGAATGTCAATGGTAGTTTGATGGGAACAGCATTGAATCTATAAATTACATTGGGCAGTATGGACATTTTCATGATATTGATTATTCCTGTCCATAAGGATGGAATGTCTTTCTATTTGTTTGTGTCCTCTCTTATTTCCTTGAGCAGTGGTTTGTAGTTCTCCTTGAAGAGATCCTTCACATCTTTGTTAGCTGTATTTCTAGGTATTTTATTCTCTTTGTAGGGATTGTGAATGGGAGTTCATTCATGATTTGGCTCTCTGCTTGCCTGTTGTTGGTGTAAAGTAATGCTTGTGAATTTTGCGCAGAATTTTGATTTTTGTATCCTGATACTCTGCTGAAGTTGCTTATCAGTTCAAGAATTTTGGGGCTGAGATGATGGGTTTTTCTAAATAGAAAATTATGTTATCATCAAACGGAGACAACTTGACTTCCTCTCTTCCTATTTGAATACCTTTACATCTTTCTCTTGCCTGATTACTCTGGCCAGAATTTCCAATACTATGTTGAATAGGAGTGATGAGAGAGGGCTTCTTTGTCTTGTACTGGTTTTCAAAGGGAATGCTTCCAGCTTTTGCCCATTCAATATTATATTGGCTGTGGGTTTGTCATAAAGCTCTTACTATTTTGAGAAATGTTCCATCAATAACTAGTTTATTGTGAGTTTTTAACATGAAGGTATGTTGAATTTTGTTGAAGGCCTTTTCTTCATCTATTGAGATGATCATGTGGTTTTTGCCATTGGTTCTATTTATATGATGGATTACATTTATTGATTTGCTCCACTTTTACCTTTAGTTATAAAAACTTTCCAATGCTATTGTCAGAAACCAAGTGCTATTTATTTAATAAGAAGAGATAAGATAAAAGACAGCAAGACAGTCTTGTGTATCTTCAAGATATTACTCTGTGTGTGTACGTTTGTGTGTGTGTGAATTTGTGTTTGGGAAGTTTATTTTTCCATAAACAATACAATTCTGCATTTCTAAATATTAAGAGAAAACAAACAGCAGTTCGATGATGTTTCCACAAACTATTAAATTTTAAAACATTTTCTCTAATTTTGAACATGTACCTTTTGAAAACAAATGACTCTTTTGATAAGAGAAACTAGTGCATAGGAAAAAGATGAAAAGTTTTTTTTTTTTTTTTGAGACGGAGTCTCGCTCTGTCGCCCAGCCCAGGCTGGAGTGCAGTGGCGCGATCTCGGCTCACTGCAAGCTCCGCCTCCCGGGTTCACGCCATTCTCCTGCCTCAGCCTCCCGAGTAGCTGGGACTACAGGCGCCCACAACCGCGCCCGGCTAATTTTTTGTAATTTTTTTTTTTTAGTAGAGACGGGGTTTCACTGTGGTCTCGATCTCCTGACCTTGTGATCCGCCCTCCTCGGCCTCCCAAAGTGCTGGGATTACAGGCGTGAGCCACCGCGCCCGGCCAAGATGAAAAGTTTTGAAGTATGAGTTCTTTCTGGAAAAAATGGAGCAAGACACGAATGCAGTAAACACTGGCTTAATGAATAACATCCACACTGATGAGTCCTCTCTTAGCCAACTGCCTCATGTCTCTCTAGTGTCTACTGTGATTTATGATGACTAACATCAAAATAAATCTTGGGGACAGATGAAGCAGAGGAGTGGTCCAGAGAGTTATGAAGAACATGGAAGACAGTGAGCTGGAGATGGGTCTACATAGGTCACTGTAATTGGAAAAAACTCTTATTTGTAGCCAAGGGAATCTACTCTTTTGATCTAAAGGGATTAAATAAGACATAAAGAAGGAGTGGGCTGGAAAGTTTTCTAAGTTGGAAAACTTAGAAGTAGGCTGGAAAGTTTAGAAGTTTTCTAAGTTGGAAAACTTAGGAGTGGGCTGGAAAGTTTAGAAGTTTTCTAAGCTAAACTTCAGGGAATGATTATCAAACTCCACCACAAAATACAGATGCCAAAAAAACTGATTTTTCTACCACACTTAGGAAAGTAGATAAATAAGCCATAACTGCACAGTGAACCAATTCAAAGATCCTTAGGGTATCACCAAGGAACTTAGATAACAAAAGTTAAGTTTGCAACAATATTTGTATTTGTCCATTTGTATACTGTTAGGATAAGGCAGACTGCATTGACACTAAATATGTCGTTGTACCACATAATGGAAGTTGATTATGTTTTCTTGATTATGCCACAGACATAGGAAGTTATGTTTTCAACAAAATCAAGGCTTATGTGTATATTAGTTCTCGTGTAGATCTAAACATGTTGGTCCATAAAAAGATCATTCAATATATAGAAGCATTTTTCTTTACTATGTAAAAGATCAAGATAGCCCCAGATTTACTGGAGCTCTGGATCTTCAACGTGTATGCTCTTGGTCACTTATGAGTTGTTTCCATCTCATTCCATCTGAAGAAAGAGAGAAATGAAGATGCACATACTAGACAGATTTAGAAACAGATCTGAGAGGGGCATAATGCAGTTTTGTTCACAAAATATTGATTAGAATTCACTGATGTAGCTGCACCTAACTGCAAAGGAGATGGAAAAACGTGGTTCAGGTGTGTATGTAGGAAGAAATGGAAACAGGTTTTGATGGATAGCTAGAATCTCAACCAAAATATAAAAGAAGTATTGTGTGGTTGGCTGTTTCAAAGACAGTTCATAATGGAAGACATAAAAGCTTCAGAGTATACCTTAGGAAAGCTGGGGAATGCACGCATAATTAGTTGATAATAAAAGAATATAAATAAATATACAAATGAGCCCAAGAAGGATTAGGGCTTGAGAGGGTAAATGTATACATTATGATTTAAATTAAATACCCAAGATACCTTTGCTAGATAATGTTATACAATAAAATACAGAAAATCTTTTTAAGTGCTCTGTTTAAGCTAAATAACAATTTTCAGATCCATCTGGTTGGGTTATTTCTTAAGTTAGGGGACATAAGAAAAGGTATCTAGATGAATAGCTGGTGAAAAGGCAGGCAGGAGCCAGTGAAAGAAAATATGGAGACTCCTGGAAGAGTATGAAGTTTGTTGCTCCTTAAAGCTCAGTTCATTTTACTTATATTAAAAGGTGCCTATGAAGTACTCATAGTCTTACTGATTAATCTATTCTTTGTACTCCCAGAACACTTCACATGATCTTCTGTAATATAATACATGCTTGGTTACCACGGCTTAAGTTTGGTCACAATTTCACTTTAGTTTGTATATCAGATAAGAATAATAACATCTGCATATTCAAAATTACTGAGTACGTCATGTCACTGATACAAATTTTATTCACTTCAAAGACATTGTAAACTAATCGAGGTATGATATGGAATTCTGCACCCATACAAAGTTCTTAATACATATTTACTAAGAAAATAAATTAATACACTATGGAAAATGATTTTAAAAATAGTTCATATTTTAGAACTCCTAAATAAAAATAATACCTAATAACTTGTATATTCCATCATAATGCGACTTGTTCTTCCGACAATGTGACTTGCACCTCCCATAATGTTGCAATTCAGCAAATCTTTATGAGGACTAGAAAAAAATGAGAAAATCAGGTATAAAGGGCTTCCCAGCTAAAGAATATCTAATTGATCAATCTGGCACCTAGCTTTGTTCAAAACTCAGATGCAATAGAAACTCTAGGTCTACCATTCATACATATTCTCAAACAGTTCAAAACAATACAGACAAAAATATGTTCAATTCTATTTTAAAATGACACGTACATTTATGTGAAGAGTGTTTAAAAGAATCCTCCTTCTTCCTGCTGTTTGTCGAGGTAAAATGTCAGCAATCAGCAATCAAAATGTGCTTGATGTATTTTGTATCTCAGAATACATTACTCAGAGATGTACAATTTATGGGTAAGGAAATACAAATATCACCTTAATAGGTTATATTTACTGTATATTATTTTATTTAGACAAGATAACAAAATATACAAAATGCTCAATTTCATATGAAGTTGAAATATTGAACATTGCTGATGTATAATATTTCATACTTGACAAAGTTGCATGCTTTTTACTGCTGGATATATTTAATATACTCTTTAAACAGAGAATTCACCAAAGAAGTCATAATATTAAATTTTGTTTTTCTTATCATTATGTGAGGGTTTTTTTGGTGTACATTTTGTTTTGTAATGACCCAATCTCTGAATATGAAATCAATTCATTATAGGATTTAAAGATGTTTGGTGAACAAAGATTTTAAAAGGTAAAAAAAGAGGAAACGTTTTATTACTTCAAAGTCACCTTTTTAGCAAGACTACAATAATGTCCCTTTCTCAACAGTCATTTGAAATTCTGTCATTCACCAAACTAGCCCCCTGCCCAGTATGCTAGAAAAACTGAGACATACAAACAGACATAATAAACAACCACCTAAAAGAAGAGCCAGATGTAGGTTGCCATATGAGCTGATTATAGGTACATAGATCAAAATTATACAAAATATATAGAGTGTAAAATCTTGTTCCTACCTCTGTCCCATCTGCCATGATCTCTCTCCTTTCTCTCCTCTTAGAGAAATTTCTTGTTTATTATTATCTAGAAATAAAAGTATACAAGAGTTTGTAGTCTTATTTTTCATTTCACATATAAAGGTTTTCTGTATACATATATTAATAGATACAGATGTAGATGTGAATTTTGATAATCCCACAGTCCAGCATCTTGCTTTTCACTTAAAACGATTCATACCAGCACTTAGGGACCCTCTGAAGTATTTATTTTAAGTAATTATACAGTATTATATTTTGTGGGCATTCCACAGTTTTTTAAATCAGTCTCCTATAGTGGAAAGCTAGAATTACTTGCGATTTTTTTGTTACTGCAAAAGAAAAGGGTTAAATGAGCAATTGTGGACATTTTATAAGTGGGGACATTTTATAAGTGTGCCAATATAGATATAGGTATAGACACTCAGAAACATAAAAGCATTGGGTCAAAGGGAGATTATTTTTCTTTGGAATTTTGATCATTGTTAAAGTCTCACCAACAAAGTGTGCTGTTGTCACACTTTTAATGTTTTATCAATTTTGGAAGGTGAAAAATATTTTGATTTAGCATTAATTTGCATTTATCTTATTATGACTGATGTTCATATGTATTTAAGAGCCATTTATATTTCTTTCTTTACCATGGCATGTACTAAAAAGCTTATCTTTATCTTGCAAATATAAGATGATGTCTTCACATTCTAAATTCACAAATACATGTAAATCTATTTAAGAACTTCCTATTTTGCAAAATTAGAAGGTTGTGCATTCATTTACCAGTACATCATTGTTTTAATTTACATGGTTTTTAGAATATGCTTTAATATTAATTGCGTTTTCCTAGATATTCTTCTGTATTTTGGAATAATAACTTTGTGTAATTCCAGAATAAAAGATCTCTCAAAGTATTATGGAGACCACGTTAAATTATAATTTAAGAATTAACTTTATTATTTTGAATCTACCTATTCAAAACAAAGGATGGCTTTCCATTTGTTTAAGTCTTATTCTGTGTCCTTTAGGGGTGCTGCAGTATTTTTTTCTGTAGCAGTTTGATATAAGTTCCTTAAATTTATCCCTACAAATTTCTTGTTGGTGTTATTTTAAGTGATTTTAAATCCCATTACATCTTCTCACTGATTGTTATTTGTATATATGAAAGGTAGCATTTTCTGCACACTGATTTTTCTGTCAGTGCACTTACTGAATCCTCTTGTTTTATAGAAGTTGTTGAGTTGATCCTCTGAGCCAGGCAGGGTAGGTACACCCAGCTACTGGGAAACCTGAGGCAGGAGGATCATTTGAGCTAAGGAGTTTGAGACCACATGGTAACATAGCAAGAACTCCTCTAAAAAACAAACCAAAAAAAATCCAATATTATCATCTATAAATAGAAGATTTTTTTTTGTCTTCACTATTCATATTTTGATATTGATTATTCCTTTCTCTTGTATAATTACATTATAATATAATTGGCTAGTATATTTTAAAACACGTTAGAGGGCACACTAGTTTTGTTCCTGAGTTTAATAGAACTTTAGAAGGACTATTTCTAGTCTTTTTCCCACTAAGTATGATGTCAGGTTTTGGGGCAAACACATGCATACACATTGAGATATAGATAGGCGAGTTTTGTGATATATATATAAATATATCTTATTCTTATTTTATTGAAGGCATTTTTAATCAAGAATTATTGTTACATTTTAACAAGTGCTTTTGTAGCATCTGTGAAGATTAACGTAATTTTCTCCTTATACTATGAACTATACTAAGCACTTTTCTAATATGAGAATACCGAGGGTGGGGCCAAGATGGCCAACTAGAAGCAGCATGATCAGAGGCTCCAGGGAAAAGAGCCATAACAGTGTACGAATCCTGCACTGGCAAACAGGGTATCCGGGTTCTGTCAGCAGAACTGACTAGGCAGCTGGCATCACCCACGGATTGGAAGGAAGGGCAGCGTGGTGTGGCGGACCACCTCAGAGCCACAGAGGGCAGGGAAGCCTCCACCCCTCAGCCAAGGGAGGCAGTGAGTGAGGATGCTACCCAGCCTGGGATAATGTGCTTTTTCCACACAACTGTGCAACCCGCAGATTGAAAGATCCCACTCAGGAACCCACAACACGGGGTCCCGAGGGTCCCAACCACAGAGCGATGCAGATTCTCAACAGCCACTAAGCTAGAATCTGCTTGAGCCTGCCCCGACCAGCACCACAGCTGCAGCTACCTGCTGTCTAAGCCGTTTGATCTCCTTGAGGGAGGGACCACAGCCAACACTGGGACTGACAGCCTCCTGACACACTAAGCTCCCAGCGTGGCGGAATGGCAGCAGCCATCTCTACAGCTCCAGGCCATGCTTCTCCCCTGCTGGAGTAGGAAGCTGGACGGCCTGATGGCAAGAAGTATCCCCCACAGCCCAGCACACCAGCTGAGGCAGACTGTGGACAGGGGGCCTCTTCAGGCCTGACCTTAACCCATCTGTCCTCACTGGGTGGGGCCTTCCTGAAGGAACTTCAACAACTCCAGCCAGGGGCTTAGAGATAGAACTCTCATCTCCCTGAGCCTGAGACCCTGGAGGAAGACGGGTTGCAGTCTCAGCAGACCAGCAGACTAAGTCTTTCCTCCTGCTAGTTCTGAGGAATCCAGGCAGCCCAGACGAGGGGGTTCCCCCAGTGAAGCACAACCCCTCCACCAAGGGACAGTCAAAGTACTTTATTAGATGGGTCCTGCTCTCTGTGCCACCCAACTGGGTGAGACCCTCCAACAGGGGTTTGCAGACACTCTATAAGGGAGCATTTCTACTGGCATCAGGTCGGTGCCCCTTGAGGTCAGAGAACCCAGAGGAAGAAGCAAGTACTCACCTTTGCTGTTCTCCAGACTCCTGGAGGGGCCTCTCCGGGTGCTGGAGTGACCCAGATGAACAGGGCCCGAAGTGAACGCCCAGCAAACCGCAGTAGCTCAACAAAAGAGGGTCCTGAACATTGCAAGAAAAATAAACAAACAGAAAGCAACAACAACAGCAGCAACAAAAAAAGTTCCCAAAAAAAACCCATCCAAGGGTCAGCAGTCTCACTCAAAGATTGATGCTAGAGAAACTCATGAAGATGAGAAAGAATCAACAACAACAAAACAATGCTGAAAACCCAGAAGGCCAGAGTGCCTCTACTCCTCCAAATGATTGCAATGCCTCTCCAGCAAGGGTGCAGCACTGGACAGAGGATGAGACAGACGAATTGATAGAAGTAGGCTTCAGAAGGTTGGTAATAACAAACTCTGCTGAGCTAAAGGAGCATGTTCTAACCCAATGCAAAGAAACTAAGGATCTTGATAAAAGGTTACAGGTGCTGCTAACTAGAATAACCAATCTATTCTTGGCTGTGAAGGTAAGCTATACTTGAGGCTCCCTTACAGTTACAGTGACCATTTGATTCTGTTTTAGCCAGCGGACTATAAGATGATTTGAGATGTTCCAGTTTTGTGCCCAGTATGTAAAATTTCTTTTGCCCCTTTTCTGCACTCTTTCCTTTTCTGTCTGATAGATACAGACTATAATGAGGTCCTAGAGGATGGAAAAGACACAGATGAAAGCAGTATGAGTCTCTGAATGCTCATGTAGTGAAGAGCCCCTGACAATCTCAACGCCCTCCCGGGGATCTCACAGCAGCAAAATATTAACTTCTATGTGATGAAACCACTGAAATTGTGGTGTCTATTTGTTAGTCCAACAAGCCTGGTCCACAGGGTCTGTGCTTTTAAGAATTAAGCATGTTCAAATGGTGCCAAACAGTGTAAAATTGGATAAATAGAGGAAAAGGAAACAATGACACTGTATCCTCCTAAAACAATAAGGATAGTTTAACAGAGCCCATGGGTTAATGTATGACCCAGAGACAGGAGCAGGGTGTTCAGGTTTTCTGTTGCTGTATAATAAATTATTGTGAAACTTAGCAACTTAACAACAATAACCTTTAGTTCTACCTTTACTACTGCTTAACATTTGGAGGGTCACGAATTGAGGTGGAAACCAGCTGAGTGAGCTGAGTGAGTCTTCTGCTCCATGTGTCATTGACTGAGATTGTAATGGTATGTGGAGGATTACTTCATTTATATGTCTTGTGCCTTAGTGAAAAATGGCTCTAAGACTGGGCTCTGTTGAGACTATGGACTGGGAGAACAAGATCTTGGCGTACTCTAACTTCTTAAACTGTGGCTTGGGCCTCCCACAGAGTGTTTTAATAGATGTGCTTGAAATCTGCAATGTTTTATGTGATCTGGCCTCAGAGGTTCCAGCTCAATGTCAAAGTCAGGAAAATTAGATCCCACCTTTCATTGGAAAATGTGGCAAATAATTTGCAGTCACCTTTAATCTAAAGCTGAACAACTCTTTTTGACAATCTGGAAAAATATTAACGGATACAGTGTAGGTTTGCTTTTAGAATCTCTTGGGGAAAAGTTGAGGAATTTCTATGGATTATTGACTCTATAACATAGGACTGTGAGAAAGCATTCCTGGGGGCTTTTGAAGAGGGTATAGGTTACTAGGCATGTGGGTTCCAGTTCTCTCGGAAGCAGGCACCAAGATAGAATTGGATGTGTGAACGATTTATTTAGGGAAGATTCTATGAAGGACAAAGGGCAGAAAGATCAGGAGTTAGCAGGGAGAGCTTTAGAACAAATGCAGGTCTGCCAATCAGTAAAGAAGATTTTTTTTAAAAAGGAAAGAAGACTGAGTAGATAGAATATATAAGTCTGCACATCAGACTTATACTGAAGTGCAGCTCTGAGAAAATCTCAATCAGGATGAAGGGGAGTCCCAGGGCATAGTGTGCATTTGAGGAGTCCTTCAGAAATGAGTTCCATTTCCTCCACCATGTTCAGTCAACACGTGGGAATAACTCAGGAAGAAGAGTATAGCCTGTTTGTGAATGCTATGAGGAATTCAAAGTTGTAACAGCTGGAGTCACTAATCCAACTGCATTCCTTACAGTGGGTCTCTCCTGAAGGAAGATGCGAGCAGTACACTTCCATGTCTGCACATTAGACTTGAGAGTATTAGGTATAAAAAATGGTCGTGGAGAATGAGAGAGTTGACTCAAGAGGCATAGTAATGGTATTATATACCATAATTGATACACCTGAGCTTAGTGTCCATAAATTTTGAGTGTATAGATGCCCTATGAGTATTTCTGGCTCAGCTGACGAGGTTGAACATTTAACTCTTATTTCCTTTCTTCTTCCATCCTTTAGTCTTTTATAAATTATTATGCAATTGATTCAATTGAATTAATAAGGAAGAAAGATTACAATAATTTAAAGCATATATTCAGATGATTTAAAAAATACTTCCCCCTTTTTTTTGACTAATAGGATTATCTACTGGAAACATTTATGCACATGTCCCTTGGAACAAATGGTCAACTCTTCCAAGTGGGAATACATTTGTGAGTAAAATTTTCAGGTCATACGGAATGCATATGCTTAAGTTTAGAGTATTAAGGAAAACGTTTTCCAAAATATTTTAGTAATTCCCAATCCCCTCTGCAGAAACTAAGAGCTCCTATTGCTCTACTTTTTTGCTAATGTTTGATATTGTCATTTGCTTGTTGTTTGTTGGTTTCATTCATTTGTGTATTTTTTGTTATTTTTCTCTATTCTGTGGGATATACAGTATAATTTAATTATGCTTTAATGTGCATTTTTATGATTACTAAAAAGAAAAATAATCTTGTTTTCATTGGAGATTTGGATATCCTTTGTTACAAACAAAAAACAATGTACTGTAACAACTATTTACATAGCCTTTACATCGCAATAAGTATTATAAGCAACCCAAGGGTGATATAAAGTATATGGGAGCATGTTCATAGGTTATTTGCAAATACTACACCACTTTATTTAAGGGACTCGAGCATCTGTGGATTTTGGCATCTATATGGGGTCCTGGAATCAATCTTACTTAGAAACCAAGGAATAGCCATATTGTAAATACCTCCTACTGACCTGTGGCTTGCATTTTCACATCTTAAATATCTTTTGACAAATTTCTATCAGTGTTGAAACTGATATATATATAGATATAGATATATTCATATTAGAATTCTATATAGTAATAAAATTGAAAAACCTGCAGCTAATTGCAAAACATGCATGGATCTCAAAAACATATTATTTATGAAGAAAATAATCTAACAAAAATAAAACATCCATTATGATCCTCTTTCTTACATGTTACAAAACAGGCAAAGATAACCTATGCTTTTAGAAGTCAGGATTGTGATTGGGCTATGGAAGAGGCTTCTGGGGTTCTAGCAATTTTGTTTTATTTGATTCAAGTTGTATTGACATAATTGTCTGCTTTTTCAATAACTGAGTTGTACAAGTTCTGTTCTGTGTGCCTTTTAGGCATGAAATGTATATTATATCTCACCTTTAAGAAAATATTAAAAATGTAAATTGTTAATTTTACCAAGAAAATGCAAAAAATACTGAGAAAAGAAAAAGCATTCTTAATGCACTGTGTATTTCAAGGCAGTCTTAATGAAAATGAATAAAACAAAACACAATAAACTCAGAGAATTATTGCCATCAACTTACACAGTGTTATCATCTATGATGTTACCACAGAATTGTTTTGTACCCAGTAGGATGCTTTCAGTTCTATGCTAAAGAGTCAAACTCGAATTTGTCTGAATAAGGAAAATTAATGTCTTGGTAAGAAGTTCAGGTCTAGAGAACTTCCAGAGCATGTTGAATCCATTGCTATAGACTGAATATTTATGCCCTTCTCTCGCCAGATTAATAAGCTGAAACTGTAATCCCCAGTGGGCGATGAAGCCTTTGAGGGGTAATTAGGTCCTGGGAGTGAATCCCTCATGATAGGATTGCTGGTATTGTTAGAAAAGACAGGAGCATCCTCTCTCTCTCTCTCTCTCTCTCTCTCTCTCTCTCTCTCTCTCTCTCGAAAAGACAGGAGCTCTCTCTCTCTCTTTCTCTCTCTCTCTCTCTCTTTCACTCTGCTATGTGAGGATATAAGGAGAAGAAAGTTGCCTGAAAACCAGGAGTACTCTCACCTGAGGCTTGATCTGCTGATGCCTCAGTCTTGGACTTCCCATCCTCCAGAATCCTGAGAAATAAATGATTTCTGATGAAACTACATAGTCTATGGTAATTTAGTATTACAGCTGGAAATAAGATACTATGATTCAATAAAGGCTTCAGGGACCCAGATTGCAAAATCCTTCTGTTTTTCTATCTTGTATAGGATTGCCTGAGACTGGTCCATCTGTGTCAAATATAATAATGTCTAAACCATACAATATTCCGAGTTTTAAAAGGAGCTCCTTCACTCTTAATCAATAAGAGTAAGGGCAATTTGCCAGAAGCCCCTCAGAAGTTTCCCTTTGTCTCATTTGGCAAAATTGTATCACATGATATAGGTTAAACCAACAATTGGTAAGGGGAATAGAAACATCATGATTGACTTAGATCAATCAAGACCCAACTCTGAGCTTGAGATGTGCATTGCTATTGTGAATTATTAACCACAGAGGAGAGAAAAGGTTCCATTTAAAAACAGAGAGAGGTTAAAAAAAAAAGAGAAACAATTGGGTGGATACAAAGAAGGGAGGAAAGAAAGAAGGAAGGAAGGAAAGAAGGAAAGAAGAAATGAGGGAAGGAAGGAAGGGAGGGAAGATAATTAGTTTGTCATAAGAAGATACTATACTGGGTGGTTTAAACGACAGAAATTTATTTTCTCACAGTGTTGGAGGCCAGAAATCCCAGATTACAGTGTCCTTGGGGTTGGTTTCTGGTGAGGTTTCTTTTTTCTCTGGTATCTCTTCCTTTTCTTATAAAAACACCAATCCTATCAGATTAGGGGCTCACACTTATGACCTCATTTATCATTAACTGCCTTCCTAAAGACCCTACCTACAAATATAGTCACTTTGGAAGTTATGGCTTCTATGTAGGAATTTGGGGGGACACAATTCACTTCGTAACAGGAAGACAGAAGGATGAAAGGAAGGAAATAAGAAGTAAGATTGTAGCGATAATGCAGCATATATGCCTTGCCAATCTCATTTTCCAAGAAGAGGAGCTGTATATCTTTACAAAGGCAAAAATAGAGTAAATACATCATTGATCATTCTTACATAAAGCTAAGAGGTGGCAATATAGGTGATTACCATACAGACACTATATAGATCATTACATGATGTACTATGAAGTTAAAGGACTCTTACAGTGTCCTTCAGATCATGTTGCTTAGTTTTCTACTGCCTTGTATATTTTATTGTGTATGTACATATATACATATTGTGTGTATATAGATATATACATATTGTGTATATAGATATACACCTATTGCGTGCATATATGCATATTGTGTGTATATATACATATTGTGTGTATATATAATTGTACATATATACATATATTGTGTGTGTGTGTATATACATATGTTGTATATATATATTTTAGTTTTCTTCTGCCTTGTAACACTCTGTACAGGTTTATAGCCTAGGAGAAATAGGCTGTGTACCATATAGCCTAGGTGGCTATATCATGATCATGATCATGCATCAATTAACAATTGAGATACTTACGTTCTGACAAATATATCCATAGGCAATTACATCTTTGTGTGAACATCAGAGTGTACTTACGCAAACCTAGATGTTATAGCCCACTCAGGCTATATGGTCCACAGCCTGTTGTTCCTAGGCTATAAAGCTGTACAGCATGTTAATGTACTCGATACTGAAGGCAATTATAATACAAAGTTAAGTATCTGTGTATCTAAACATATAAAAAGTAGAGTAAAAATATGGTAGAGATTAAAAAATGGTGCATCTGTAAGGGCACTTACCATGAATAGAGTTTCCAGGACTGAAAGTTGCTCTGTGTGAGTTGGTGGGTGAGTGGTGAGTAAATGAGAAGGCCTGGGAGCACAGTAGCTTTGTTTACACCAGCACCACCATAAACATGTGAGTAATGCATTGTGCTATGACAGTAGGATGGCTGTGATGGCATCAGGTGATGGGAATTCTGTAGCTGCATTGTAATCTTATTGGCCCACTGTTATACAGGCAGAGTCCATTGTTGGCTGAAGCATCATTATCTGTGCATGACTGGAATGTGCTTTACTCTCCCTTTGAAATATGAATTTCTTTTCTAGTAATTTATATTTTATTTATAAAATCAAATTCAGTTTGTGTATATTAAACCACTATCATTTAAAATATTGGCTATATTATCAACCACTAAACGGATTTATGTCTGTTTTACTTTTTCAAAGTAAGTCTCTTCTTATTTTTCATACCATGATCAGCAATCATTTTAAATTTTTTACTATTCAGTCTCAGAAACTATAGTTACATTATATTTATATTTTAATATATGTAATAACAATAAGTCACTCAAATGGTTCATAATTTTAACATTCATTTTATAATGGTTTGACTAGTTTATACAAATTTAACTCTTTGAAGGTAGAAACCAAAGGAATCATTGATGATTTTTAAACAAAGGCCATGAATACAATGTTCATGTAATAAAAGAAGCAACTCAGTAAATTTAAACTAACTTAATATGCACAATAGTAACAAAATATTTTCATGACTGTAAGAACTCTGATTCGTATATTATTTTTTCCAATCAAATTATTATACATCATTCTGCTATCGAGCATAAATGAAGAACTGAGAATATAAAAATAAAGAGAAAATTTGTCCTGTTCTCAAGGAGCTTAATCTAACAAGAGAAACAACTGAAATCACTATGCTATTCCAAAGTGCAGACATTATTTAAAAGAAGCAAGAAGAGCTCAAAAAGAAGGAGCAACTAATTATATTATGTGGATTGGGAAGAGACCTTGACAGGGTCTGTGGTAACTTGGCTCAGTATTAGGAGACAAGATTTTCCAGGGAGTATAAAGAATAATGTAAAGTATTTAAATATATGAAAATTTATGGCTGTTTACAACTAACTGTTCATGTTTTGAAATAACCTGTAGTATGTTCTAAAAGTGTTTAGAACTCTGTCTAGTTAATACACTATGCATATGTATATTTTGATATGAGTTTTACACTATATAAAAATCACTTATAAATGTTTCTAACATGCAACAGAGTAAATATCCATAATTTGGTGACTCCTACTTATATACAATATGTACTGTATAAATTATTTTATGACTTTATAAAGTCAGACATTGAGAGAGTTCTAATTTCATAAATTAATACAACCATTAGGTGATACTAGCATTACCTATAGATTAGATCACAAAACAACTTTGTTTTCTCCATATTGCTTTAAAATATACTAGTAGAAATTTTCTTCACTGCCCTGAATGAAAACTTGGGTGGCTTCAGGACTTTTCCAATCCCATGTCATGTTCTCACATTATATATTAAAACTTCATCTCAATTCAAAAGTTGAGTTTGGCCTCATTATAATAATGAAAACTTTGAAAGTGATTTTAAATATATCTACTGTTCTCTGCTCACACTACTGCAGAAAGGGATTATTTGATTGGAGAAGGCCTTCCCTTCCGCTTCCAGCATCTTCTTTCATTACTTTTTTTTTTTCTCTATAGTTGCTTAACTACAGTTTCTAAGAAATGAGAGTGAAGGGAGGAATAAAAAGGAAACAGAAAATTTCTTATTTGTATTACTGATGTTTAATTGCTATTGTGAGCTTTATTTTAATTGACTTGCTTTGTAAAGTCATCTGAAGCAATTGATTTCATATTTTTTATAACAGACCACCTTAGTGAAAGTTCTTACAAATCTACTAAAATATCGTATCATTCTCTTGATTCATTCAAACCTAAAGTAATACATTAGCATGAAGATAAGTATTCAATAAAGATATTTATGTCTATTCCATTCTTTTTAAAATTTAAAGTATACACATGAAGTATTGATATTCATATCTATAGTGAAATTATTACTAGAGGTCAGCAATTTAGCATATCCACTATCTTCCATAGTTAGCATTTTTTATGTGTGGTAACAGCACTTAAAATCTGCTCTCTTTGCAAATTTTGAACATACAATACATAATTATTAACTATAGTCTTACTATTTGTATTGGTCCATTCTCATATTGCTGTAAAGAACTACCTGAGACTGCGTAATTTACAAAGAAAAGGGGTTTAATTTACTTTCAGTTTCACATGGCTGGAAGGCCTCAGAAAAGCTACAGTCACGGCAGAAAATGAAAGGCAAGCTGACACAGTCTTCACATGGCCAGAGCAGAGAGAGAGAGAGTGCAAAGGGGGAGATGCTATGGTTTGTTTTGTTTTGTTTTGTTTTTTGAGACTGAGTCTTGCTCTGTCACCAGGCTGGAGTGCAGTGGTGCAATCTTGGCTCACTGCAACCTCTGCTTCCTAGGTTCAAGCAATTTCCCTGCCTCAGCTTCCTGAGTAACTGGGACTACAGGTACGTGCCAGCACACCTGGCTAATTTTTTGTATTTTAGTAGAGACGGGGTTTCACCATGTTGGCCAGGATGGTCTCGATCTCCTGACCTTGTGATCTGTCTGTCTCAGCCTCCCAAAGTGCTGGGATTACAGGCATGAGCCACCATGCCTGGTGACTACACACTTTTAAACAACCGGCTCTCATGATAACTCATTGACTATCATGAGAATAGCAAGAGGAAAATCTACCCTCATGATCCAATCATCTCCCACCAGGCTCCTCACTCAGCATCAGGAATTACAATTAGACATGAGATTTGAGTGGGGACATAGAGCCAAACCATATTATTCTGCCCTCAGCCCCTCCCAAATTTTATGTCCTTTTCACATTTCAAAACACAATCATGCCTTCCCAACAGTTCCCCAAAGTCTTAATTCATTCCAATGTTAACTCAAAAGTCCAAGTCCAAAGTCTTACCTGAGACAAGGCAAGTCGCTTCTGCCTATGAGCCTATGAAATCAAAAACATATCAGTTACATCCTAGGCACAATGGGGTTACAGGCATTGGGGCATTTCTCCCATTCCAAAAGGGAGAAATAGGAGAAAACAAAGGGGCTCACAGGCTCCATGCAAGTCTGAAACCCAGCAGAGCAATAATTAAATCTTAAAGCGCCAAAGTAGTTTCCTTTGATTCCATGTCTCACATCCAAGCCACCGTGATGCAAGAGGTGGGCTCCCAACGCCTTGGAAACAGGTCTGCCCCTGTGGCCCAACAGGGTAAAGCCCCACCACAACTGCTTTCATGGGCTGGCATTGAGTGCCTATGACTTTTCCAGGCAAGCTGTTGGCAGATCTACCATGCTGGGATCTAGATGACGGTGGCCCTCTTCTCACAGATCCACTAGGACTAGGCAGTAACTCAGTGGGGACTCTGTGTGGGGCTTCCAACCCCATATTTCCCCTCCACACTGCCCTACTAGATGTTCTCCATAAGGGCTCTGCCCCTGAAGCAGACTTCTGCCTGGACATTCAGGCATTTCTCTACATTCTCTGAAATTGAGGCAGAGGTTTCCAAACCTCAACTCTTGCCTTCTGTGAACTGGCAGGTCCAACACCACGTGGAAGCTGCTGAAGCTTAGGGCTTGCACCCTCTGAAACAACAGCCATAGCTGTATCTTGGCTGCTTTTAGCCATAGCTGAAGCTAGAGCAGCTGGGATGCAGGGCACCATGTACAGAGGTGGCACAGAACAGCAGCCCTGGACCTGGCTCACAAAAACATTTTTCCCTCCTAGGCCTTTGGATCTGTGATGGGAGGGGTTGTTGTGAAAGTCTCTAAAATGCCCTGGAGGCATTTTCCCCATTGTCTTGGTTATTAACATTCAGCTCTTCTTTACTCATGCAAATTTCTGCATCCTTGAATTCTTCCTCAGAAAATGGGTTTTTCTTTTCTACCACATAATTGGCCTGCAAATTTTTCAAACTTTTATGCTCTGCCTCTCTTTTAAATATAAGTTCCTGTTTCAGATCATCTCTTTGTTTATGCAAATGATTTGTTTATGCAAATGAGTATAGGCTTTTAAAAGCAGCCAGATTACATCTTAAATGCTTTGCTGTTTAGCAGTTTCTTACACCAGATACCCTAAATCAATTCTCAAGTACCAAATTCCACAGATCACCAGAGCAGGGGCACAATGCCCCAGTCTCTTTGCTACCGAATAGCAAGAGTGACATTTATTCAAGCTCCCAATACGTTCTTCATCTCCATCTGAGACCACCTCAACCTGGACTTCACTGTCCATATCACCATCAGCATTTTTGTCACAACCATCCAAGAAGTCTCTAGGGAGTCTCAAATTTTTACCCATCTTCCTATCTTCTTCTGATCCCTCCAAACTGTTCCAGCCCCTGCCCATTACCAACTTCTAAAGTTGCTTTCACATTTTCAGGTATCTTTATAGCAACGCCCCACTCCCAGTACAATTTTTTTGCATTAGTCCATTCTCACATTGGTATAAAAAACTACCTGAGACTGGGTAATTTATGAAGAGAAGAGACTTAATTGACTCAGAGTTCCATAAGGCTATGAGACCTCAGGAAAATCACAATCATGGCTGAAGATGGAGGGGAAGCAGTAGCGGTCTTCACATGGCCAGAGCAAGAGAGAGACAGAGCAAAGCAGGAAGTACTACACAGTTTTAAACAAGCAGATGTGATGAGAACTTACTCAGTATCATGAGAACAGCAAGGGGGAAATCTGCCCTCATTACCCAATCATCTCCCTCCAGGTCCCTCCCCCAACACTGGGAATTACAACTCAACATGGGATTTGGGAGGGGACACAAAGCCACAATTTGAGTGGGGACCCACAGCCAAACCATATCACTGTTGTACATTAGATTGCTAGACTTCTTTATCCAATAAAACTACAAGTTTGTACTCTTTGACTTACTTCTCTCCATTTCCTTCCCTTTCTTTTGCCTA